TTAAAATCCTGTATTAAAAGTTATAATCAAATGTGAGAATATCGTAAATAATTAAGACAATACTTTACTCTCTAACTAAGAAAAGCTACTATTAAAATCTCCTAATAAAATGTCAAAGGATCAGCAATCTCTTATTTCTAAAACTGCCCTTCTTAGTAAAATTGTCTTGTATATCATCTTGGTTGTAAGTGGAATAGCTTTTTGTTGTGGCAACTTAGAAATTTTATGGAATCTCCTTGATATGCTTTAGCAATTATCGTATATGAAATTTCATAATCTTCAATTCCCAGAGAACCTACAAGTCTATTTTGAAATTTTTACAATAGGTTCCTTTACTCCCATAATAAATTTCTTATAATTAGATACATATTTACAAGAATTTTTTGATTACTAAATTCCAACCATACCAGCCAAGTGGAAATTTGAATTCTATGAACTCAATTGCTACTTTTTGATAAACTTGTAAACATTTGTAGTAGTAGTGATTATTGGATTTGCTTATTTTATTTTCTCGTACTTCTTTTATCAATTCTTGGTCTTTATTAGATACTAAAATTGGCCAGCTACCTTTTACGCTCATTAATAAAAAATCTTTCCAGTTGTCAGATTTATTTTTTTCTTTTAGAAATTATCAAGAAGATAATATTAGTCTTTCATTTACTCTGGATTAATTAGAATTTTTACTTCTAATTTTTATGAATTAACCTTTGCATCTATTTTATAAATTGCCAATTACAATGCTGATACCGCTTTAAATGCAACTATTTCATTATTAGCCCTGATTACATTACTAATTAACTTATTCCTAATCATGGTATTTTATTCTTATTTAAGCAAAAAAGGAAAAGTAGCCAAGACATTATCAGTCTTAGTCGAAGGAATTGATTATAATTTCAGGTAAGGATCTAAATAATATTTCACTGTTTTGTTGATTAAGAAAACCTTATTCTTAGTGAATTTAGTTTTACTTTAAGGCCTTTTCGCTGCTTAGAGTCTAATTACAGGTTTTTTTTCAGGAGTATTTGCTTGTTATATTGCAAGTTATAAACCTTTTAAAAATAATTATGAAAATATGAAAATAGTTAGCACAGAACTTCTGATCTTGCTTAATGTTATACTATTTTCCGTTTATGACATTATCAGATTTAATTAAGACAAAACCTTAGCTGAACTTTTAGGTTGGATTAATGTAGGGGGTTTTACATTAATTCTTATTTTCACTTTAGCCATTGATATTTACCAACAATTATAAAACTATATATTATAATGGATAAAAAAGTGTTTTGGAAACGAATAAACAAGAAAAAAATTTTTAAATATATTTTTAGAAGTTGATTATCATTATAGAAGTAATTGAGATTTATAAGAATTAAATATTATACAAAATTCTATGGTTAAATCAATAGAAAATTTATTTCTGCCAATTCTTCATCCCATATATTCTTATTTCTAGATTGTATTAAAAATTGCTTTTGAATTTATTTATAATCTATAATTGTTTTAAAATGATAAAAGTAGTATATTGAAAGTATTAATATGACCTAGTCAATAAGTAAATTTAAAAATCTCTGCTTTTTATGTCTCCCTTCTAAATATTTCATAGAATTCCTAAATTTTAATTAATAAAAACCTAGATATGGAATTGATTTTTTTCTGTTAAGCTATAATATCTAAATTCTAACAACTTTATTTGAAATTTTGATAATCAATTTCATCTATCTAAAATTAAATTATAATGTACATTACAATATCAATTAATAAAGAATATTTCAAAATAAAATTTAACAAAAATTAGACTCATATGAATTTAAAAAGGCACTTTTTATGTAATTCAAATTTTTGAGTATCTAAATTACATATTTTCATTAAATATATAGATTTATATCTATCTTTTAATGATTGACGATTAATATTAATTATAATTCAATAGCGAATTGTTCTTTGATTTGATTAATCAATTAACTTAAATAAGATTGCCAGATTTAATTGTTTTTGCTCACCCTCTAAATAAATTGGAAAATCTTTGTATTAATTGAAAAATTATTAAAAATTAGGATGAATATATTTTTATTAATTACATCATCCCGAATGGCAATTTTATAAAATAAAATAATTAACTTAATCAGGATGCCATTACTTGTAATAAATTTCCCTGAAATTTTTATTTCACATTTCTATGACTTATTAAATTTAAATTAATTTTTCAGTTCATGTCTAATTTTTCTCTAAATCTGAAGAATGAATTTGTTCAGTTAATAGTCAAAATCATTAATTATTCAGATTCATAATAATAAATATTCGTATTTACAATTTAGCTTTCCTTTTTCAAAGTTCCAACCTGGACTATTTCTTAATTTTATTGACTTATTCATATTACAATCATCTTATAATATTAAGTTAACATTGTGATTATGTTAAATTATAGTGTGAGGCATCATCTATTTCATTCAAAAATTGATATTATCTTATTCGTTAATACTTTTAAAGACTAGTAATTTTAATTTGGGCTATAAGATCAACTTCAGTTTTTATCAAATCCAAACAGTTTATAGAAAATTCGATATTTGGATATCGAATGTAAGCACCTATCAAGTAATTTTAAATTAGATTTAGTTCATAATTTTTTTTTAGAGAATTGAAAATCATTAAACTATAGAAAATTTGATAACTATTTAAACTATTTTTTCAATTTCATATTTAATTATAATTCAGAAACTTTCACTTCTTAACTATTATGTTGCATATTTCTATTCAGTATTAGATAAATTGCCAATAATGTGATCCAATTAATTGAAATTATATAATTTTCTTAGCCAGGTTCGCACATTAATTATGGAATCTCTTGGTATTAGCCTATCAACAGATGAATAATTTTGAGATTAAGATTTATTATTGACAATTTAAGATTTACAGTAATATCTCCTTTGAAATGTTCTATCACATGACCTGAGAGCATGATTAGTAGAGAAAAAGAGTAAAAAAGTCTTAATTTCGAAATTTGAATTAAAAATTTATCAAGAAATCTAAGAAATTAAGTAAGATTTAGATTATTTTTATAAGCGAAACTGTCACGAAGCCTAAGAGTTTTTACCATAAAATTCACTCAATTTTGATTATCTTTTGAAGGAAGCTTTGAGATATAATTTCAATTCAANATATCTAAATTCTAACAACTTTATTTGAAATTTTGATAATCAATTTCATCTATCTAAAATTAAATTATAATGTACATTACAATATCAATTAATAAAGAATATTTCAAAATAAAATTTAACAAAAATTAGACTCATATCAATTTAAAAAGGCAATTTTATGTAATTCAAATTTTTGAGTATCTAAATTACATATTTTCATTAAATATATCGATTTATATCGATCTTTTAATGATTGATGATTAATATTAATTATAATTCAATGGCGAATTATTCTTTGATTTGATTAATCAATTAACTTAAATAAGATTGATCAGATTTAATTGTTTTTGATCACCCTCTAAATAAATTGGAAAATCTTTGTATTAATTGAAAAATTATTAAAAAATAGGCATGAATATATTTTTATTAATTACATCATCCCGAATGGCAATTTTATAAAATAAAATAATTAACTTATTTAGGATGACAATATTTGTAATAAATTTCTTTGAAATTATTATTTCACATTTCTATTACTTATTAAATTTAAATTAATTTTTCAGTTCATGTCTAATTTTTCTCTAAATCTGAAGAATGAATTTGTTCAGTTAATAGTTAAAATATTAATTATTCAGATTCATAATAATAAATATTCGTATTTACAATTTAGCTTTCATTTTTCAAAGGTCCAACCTGGACCACTTCTTAATTTTATTAATTTATTGATATTACAATCATCTTATAATATTAAGTTAACATTGTAATTATATTATATTATAGTGTGAGGCATCATCTATTTCATTCAAAAATTGATATTATCTTATTCGTTAATACTTTTAAAGACTACTAATTTTAATTTTGGCTATAAGATCAACTTCAGTTTTTATCAAATCCAAACAGTTTATAGAAATTCGATATATAGATATCGAATGTAAGTACCTATCAAGTAATTTTAAATTAGAGTTAGTTTATAATTTTTTTTGAGAGAATTGAAAATCATTAAACTACAGAAAATTTGATAAATATTTAAACTATTTTTTCCATGTCATATTTAATTATAATTCAGAATCTTTCACTTCTTAATTATTATGTTGTATATTTCTATTCAGTATTAGATAAATTCCCAATAATGTGATCCAATTAATTAAAATTATATAATTTTCTTAGCCAGATTCGCACATTAATTATGGAATCTCTTGGTATTAGCCTATCAACAGATGAATAATTTTGAGGTTAAAATTTATTATTGACAATTTAAGATTGACAGTAATATCTCTTTTGAAATGTTCTATCACATGACCTGAGAGCATGATTAGTAGAGAAAAAGAGTAAAAAAGTCTTAATTTCAAAATTTGAATTAAAATTTATCAGGAAATCTAAGAGATTAAGTAAGATTAGATTATGTTTATAAGTGAACTGTCACGAAGATATAAAATTATTTTTCTATTTGTGACCTGGATACATAAAACTTATTCTGAAGCTTTCTGTAATTTTAAGTTTTGCTTAATTCTCTTTGGAGGTAAATAATTTTAGTAGAATGCCAATAATGAATCAACAATGAATTATTCTGATTTTCTTATTATTCTGTCGCTAGTTAATTAAAATAAGCTTGAATAAAATATACTTTGATTAATTTGAAAATTATAAATTGATCAAATTCAAAAATATAAATTTTATTTCTTTCTTCAAGGATAATAAATCTACTATACTTTAAGAAAGTTTTAAGATAATTAGATGTAGAAAAGTGCTATTAGTTAAAATAAAATAAAATAATGGTTGAAGCTATTTTAATAGCTTTATTCCCTGAATATCTTATTGATCTATAAATTATATTTTTTATAATTATTGATTAGATTAATATTTTTAATGAAACTATTTCTATTATTTTTCTTATTAAAGTACTCAGATTTTGCTTCTTTACCAGTTGTTGATGCAAATGCAAAATGTTCTTAAAATGATCTTTATATTTTCAGAAAAGAATCCATTATTAGGGGGAAATACAGAGATGTAGCATCTTAATTTAATGGAGCACTTATTCCCTAAGCAAGAGCCATTCTTTTTCATGTAACTAATATTGACAATAGTCCTTTAAGAAACTCGCTCTACCCACGCTATATTGCTGATTTGGGACATGTTAATGTATATCTTCGAGAATCGGTAATAGTGCGATTTTTATAAATAAATTAAATCAATCATGTAAGATTTTGGATGTGGGATACTGATGATAGATAAACAGAAAAGCAAGTATTTGTAATAACAGCTGATCTAATTGAAAAAGTCATTTTTGATGGTATTTCCAAATCTACTTTATATGTTTTAAAATTTTCTGATTAATTGGCTTCTGGATTGAAATTTTACAACAAAGGAGGAAATAATCTAGACCATACTTACATGACCATCCTAAAACTATAAGCCTTCTAAGCCTTTTGATTATCAATGTAAATTAAAATAACAATAATTTCCTTCCATATTATAGATTTGGAATATTAATTAAATTTCTTTATAACTTAATGTGTAATTTTAATATTTTCATTAAATATTATTGTTTAACTAAATTAATTTTGAGAATAAGTATTTAGAATTATGCGTGTCCTAATTTTATTTAATAGCCAGTTCTAATAGATTTTATTTATAATTCTTAGAATTTTTAATTAATTGAAATCATTTATGAATTCTAAGCAGCTTAATTTAGATGAAAATTGAACGAATATTCGTAGATATCTGAGTTAATTATTTGTTCATTTAGTATAGAGAGGGTGAAATTTGTAATCATTTTCATAAAATAAGTTCTTATAAAAATGTAGCAAATTAACTTAGCTTTTTTAAGATAGATTTTAAGCTGAATTCTGATTTTTTTCAAAATAAAAAATACTATTCTTTTGATGATTATGTATCATTAATGTGAACGGAAATGATCTGTTAACACAAACATATTATCCTTGAAGATAATTGAATAATTAAAATTATTAATTGGTTTTTCATCATAATCCTTTGTTCAGGTTAGATCTCCTCCTAGTTTACCTCTTAAAGAGTTAGATGACGATTATTATATTAATTTCTGTATAATTCCAAAAATATTTTTTCATGCTCAATTATTCAAGAATTCCCTTTTGAATTGATACTTATTTCATCCTAATTTTTTGAATGAAGTGCTTCTCTGCACAAATTTATAGGATGATAAATTTTTAACTTTGCTTAATGAAAGCTAAGAATCAAACTGTACAAGAATCAGGATTATTGCTACTAAGAATCTACTGTTTTACTTATTAATA